ACGCAATCGAATTTACCTTGATGCATGTATGGTTGCATATGAGATGTTTTTCTTCTACATTATTTTCCTGTTTTTTGCAATTTCTCTTTGCAGAATTGTCTATAGTTACGGTTGTTCAGTACTGTTACTGCGTTGTAATAAAATGCCTTACTTTTTTTTGTGATTTCGGTGATTTATGAAACGTTTAAAAACTGGATAAGAATAAATAACACATTTAAACGTTTTAGGAATAAAATTTATTAAAATTCAGTTTAGTAAATTCTATTCCTGGAACATTTAAGAGTGTGTGAAATAATTAAAAACCAAAGATAAAAACATTTTTTGAATTTTGAAATAGCTAATGTGTAAATTTTAATTGTTTCCTCTCCAGAATAATTTTTTAAAATAATGTTTGGTAACAGTAAATAAAAGCACATTTAAAAGTTTCAAGCATAGAATTTATTAAAACTGACAATTTTAAAAAATTAGTCTGTGAAAGAAACACTAAAAAATTTATACGTACTTATTTGCTATTTCACAGTTCAAAAAATGCTTTTATCTGCAGAATTTTAAATATTTCGCGCCAGTCTAGAAAGTTGCCACGACATGTCAATACCACGCTCCCTTGCGTCAACTTCGATAACGTTCAAATAATCTCCTTACAGCTGCACTTTTGTGATTACTAATATCAGAGACTAATATATAATGTCTCGTTTTATCGTGATAATTAGTTACAGTAGATGCATTTAAATTTTATCAAAGTATTTTTTAAACCGGCATATGCAACAACCAACGTCTATTTAGCAAAAGAAAGTAGGTACTATTGAATATAATATGTATTGCGATCTTCTTTGAGATTAACATATTTGACGTACTTCCTTCTCGCTGGGTGGTCTGCTGTACTTCCACGCTTTGTGATGTGTGTTTTAGTAGTGACTAGTGATATTTTGTGTGCATTTTTGATATAAAATGTGGAAACTACTAATACACACAAAATTTCTATCACAATAGATTCTGGAATTACAGTTTTATCTGTTGTATGTTTTTATATTAATGGGTATCGAATTATTTTGACGATTCCCGTTGATTAAGTTACTAATTGTAAGTAAATGTACTTTACTCCGCCATATTTAGTACTTAATCTAGAAAAAGCGTGGAAACTTTTTTATGTATGTTTATTAAAATAGTTATCAGTTTAGTAAAAATTGATTTTATAAAATTTTTTGTTAACAAAATTACTGTTTTTTCATACATTAATCTTTCCCGTTTGCTCTACAAAAATATTCTTTTCACAGATACCTACAGGTGAGAATACACTTTTTCTTGCCTTTGCCAAGCGAATTTTTCTTCAGCAGTTCAGTCTACAGGGACAGTGTATTTCCTTCCTAAAGCTTAAAAGGCCTTGTTGTCCATAGGTAAGATGGCTGAAAATATTTGAAAATAAATATGCATGTTATTTGTTTAAAACATCCTAATAATAGTTTAAAAGGTTCTATAAAGTTGAAAATAAGATACGTATTCATTTATTATTTTAAATATGTATATGGAAAGCTTATTTAAATAGAATAAGTACATAGTTGCTATAAACTAATTTAAATGTTTGTTGTTTTTTAATAGGCATTACAATACCATCAAGGGACTTAAAAATGACCTATGTCACAATGTAATAATATTAATGGTATGAAGAGCTTTTATAAATGTATCATTCCTTCCGCACTAATACAAAACCTTGGAATAAGTTTGGGTAAGATTATAAAGATTTTAGTGTTTAATGATTTTATTTTATTTAATCCACTAATTATTGCAAATATGCAAAGCAAAATTATAAATGATTTTTGGAAGTTCCATTGCATTGCAATTGTAACTAAATAGTCTGCAAATAAAACAAGCATTTATTGTACTGAGGACAAGACACTAAAGTGGTTATTCTTTTGCCTCTGTTTAGCTTCAAAGAAAAGTTATGAAAGTGACTTCTTCCCCTGGAAATAAGAATAATGATCACGAAAAGGCATGGCAATGTGAAAAATATTTTGCTTAATGGTTGTTAATTTTATTTGGAAACAGTTTTATTGTCATTGTAAAAGGTTGTTTATTAAAAAGAGGAAAACAATTCCTAATGCATATTTGAGGTACTTATTCATTAAGACTTTTTATATTTATGTGAACAGTGGAATAAATTAATTAGGGGTCAGTATCAAACATATATTTGTGTGCTGTTAAATTTTAAGTTCGGCTTCTTTTTTGCTCTACTAAAATCCTATGTGTTTTAATGTTACTAGTAACATTTTGCCATTTTGTGGTGTTCATTAAGAAACGTTTCGGAAAATAGAAGGAAACTTTTATGTTAATTTTGTAAATACATAATTATTTAAGGGGATTTATTATAGAAACTTTACTTTTAGCTTTTGCAATAGAAGGCAGAACGTGAATAATTGATAATTTCAGATGTAACGCACATTTTCATTAGAAAACAATTTTTTCCAAGTTCATTCTGTTATCTATTTAAAAATAAAAAATAATATTTTTGCATGTTTATAGGCGTGAAAATTAGTTTTAAATGTTACAATTTTTGAGTAATTATCAGTACGCAATCGAATTTACCTTGATGCATGTATGGTTGCATATGAGATGTTTTTCTTCTACATTATTTTCCTGTTTTTTGCAATTTCTCTTTGCAGAATTGTCTATAGTTACGGTTGTTCAGTACTGTTACTGCGTTGTAATAAAATGCCTTACTTTTTTTTGTGATTTCGGTGATTTATGAAACGTTTAAAAACTGGATAAGAATAAATAACACATTTAAACGTTTTAGGAATAAAATTTATTAAAATTCAGTTTAGTAAATTCTATTCCTGGAACATTTAAGAGTGTGTGAAATAATTAAAAACCAAAGATAAAAACATTTTTTGAATTTTGAAATAGCTAATGTGTAAATTTTAATTGTTTCCTCCCCAGAATAATTTATTAAAACTGACAATTTTAAAAAATTAGTCTGTGAAAGAAACACTAAAAAATTTATACGTACTTATTTGCTATTTCACAGTTCAAAAAATGCTTTTATCTGCAGAATTTTAAATATTTCGCGCCAGTCTAGAAAGTTGCCACGACATGTCAATACCACGCTCCCTTGCGTCAACTTCGATAACGTTCAAATAATCTCCTTACAGCTGCACTTTTGTGATTACTAATATCAGAGACTAATATATAATGTCTCGTTTTATCGTGATAATTAGTTACAGTAGATGCATTTAAATTTTATCAAAGTATTTTTTAAACCGGCATATGCAACAACCAACGTCTATTTAGCAAAAGAAAGTAGGTACTATTGAATATAATATGTATTACGATCTTCTTTGAGATTAACATATTTGACGTACTTCCTTCTCGCTGGGTGGTCTGCTGTACTTCCACGCTTTGTGATGTGTGTTTTAGTAGTGACTAGTGATATTTTGTGTGCATTTTTGATATAAAATGTGGAAACTACTAATACACACAAAATTTCTATCACAATAGATTCTGGAATTACAGTTTTATCTGTTGTATGTTTTTATATTAATGGGTATCGAATTATTTTGACGATTCCCGTTGATTAAGTTACTAATTGTAAGTAAATGTACTTTACTCCGCCATATTTAGTACTTAATCTAGAAAAAGCGTGGAAACTTTTTTATGTATGTTTATTAAAATAGTTATCAGTTTAGTAAAAATTGATTTTATAAAGTTTTTTGTTAACAAAATTACTGTTTTTTCATACATTAATCTTTCCCGTTTGCTCTACAAAATTATTCTTTTCACAGATACCTACAGGTGAGAATACACTTTTTCTTGCCTTTGCCAAGCGAATTTTTCTTCAGCAGTTCAGTCTACAGGGACAGTGTATTTCCTTCCTAAAGCTTAAAAGGCCTTGTTGTCCGTAGGTAAGATGGCTGAAAATATTTGAAAATAAATATGCATGTTATTTGTTTAAAACATCCTAATAATAGTTTAAAAGGTTCTATAAAGTTGAAAATAAGATACGTATTCATTTATTATTTTAAATATGTATATGGAAAGCTTATTTAAATAGAATAAGTACATAGTTGCTATAAACTAATTTAAATGTTTGTTGTTTTTTAATAGGCATTACAATACCATCAAGGGACTTAAAAATGACCTATGTCACAATGTAATAATATTAATGGTATGAAGAGCTTTTATAAATGTATCATTCCTTCCGCACTAATACAAAACCTTGGAATAAGTTTGGGTAAGATTATAAAGATTTTAGTGTTTAATGATTTTATTTTATTTAATCCACTAATTATTGCAAATATGCAAAGCAAAATTATAAATGATTTTTGGAAGTTCCATTGCATTGCAATTGTAACTAAATAGTCTGCAAATAAAACAAGCATTTATTGTACTGAGGACAAGACACTAAAGTGGTTATTCTTTTGCCTCTGTTTAGCTTCAAAGAAAAGTTATGAAAGTGACTTCTTCCCCTGGAAATAAGAATAATGATCACAGGATGAAGTGGATTGGTTTGTGACATGTTTAGAGGCATTAGAAGTTGTAGGACTAGAAGATAAGAACAATCGTTTGAGAATATTTTTGGGGGTTTGGTTGGTGTTAAAGCGCCACTACATTTTGCTCGTTCTGTTACAAAAATTAAAAGGGAATGTCACTTTAATACTTCGCGAAAGTGTGGAAAAATACTTTCTTTTATTAAGAACAGAGTTTATTTTATTTAAAATTACAATAATGTTAATGTTAATGTAACATAATTAATTTTAGGTTGGCGTTGCGTTTTCCATATGCAACGTCTAATAGACAACCCTTAAACAACGTTTCAAAACTGACAGAAGCAAAACAGCAAAATTGATGTAAAAGTGACCTTTCCCTGTTAGTGTGAATGTTAGCTTAATACAAATTATTCATGTATTCATTTTATTTTAATATGAGAGAAGATACTGGACAAGAAGCATAAAATATGTAAATTTTCAATTTAACAGCTGTCTTATTTTGCTGATTAATGAATGGTACAGTGTGCATCTATTATTTTATCTGGCACCTGCTTCTAACTTTACTACCTCATCGCCACATTAAAATTTTTACTTTAACGAAAAGGAATTGCAGTTAATTTTGATGCTACTGAAATAACTACAATACTCCTTTTTTCGGTTAATTAGGTAAGATTACATTGACATAATTAATATATAACTTCGTAAGGACGATAAGGATCAACAGTATAAAAATTAGCATAATACAAGCGGTAGAGCATTTATTTTGAATTTTACTTTGTATATATATTAACTTCAATATGAGAATAAAAAGTTACGAGAAAAGGAGTATTAAATCTTTAAATTTTTAATACAAGAGATGCTTATTTTGCTTATTAATGAATGGTACTACAATAACGACATGTATATTCATTATTTTTCCTTTCACCTGTCTCTAATTTCACCGCTACATTGCAATTTTAAAATGTTACTATTTTACTTGCTTTGATAGTGATAGTTGAATAATTTTTCTTGTTCGTTTCTGCAGATTTGACCAACAAATGAGAGAAAATTGAAAGTTAATTTTAACCCTAGTGATGACCATAAGCGAAGTTTGCATTGATGCCTTTCAGAGTTTGGTTTGCTTTTTGCATGTATGAATTTGGAACGTTACACTCTGCAGCTAATCAAGGTGAGAATGTATAGTACAATTAATATTAATTGCATGTTATTAATTTGTTGCCAATTTTTGAAACAGAAAACTTCCTGGAACATTATGCGTGTGATGGCAAATATATATTACTTCTTTTTATAATAAATGTCTTACTACCCGATATTTCGTTAAAATTGTATGTACATGTTGTGAAACTTCAATCTATCTTATTTCTTTCTGAAAAGGCCCGACTGGCGTTTATAGCGCATCTACATTTGTTTATTCTGGCATGAGAATTCAAAGAACAAACAAAAATTCAAAGAGAACATCGATTAAAAATTGTATGGAAATGAGGAAGACTACTTATGTTAAGAATATAGTTTTTATTTTATTTTAAATTTTAAATTACAGCAATATTGATGTTTCAATTTTTATATAATTATATTAATAGTTTTTCCTTCACAGCTATCTTTATGTCTACAGCATAAATTGACGTAGTTATTTATGAATCTATGAAATTAATGAACCTCGTCATACAAGATGGAGAACGTGCTTTTTGGTTCATATTTTCATTGTATTTCATGTTTTTATTATTGAATAGTGTTGTTTATTCGTTTTTCTTCTCCATTTTTACAGATTGATGTTAAGATCCAAGATATCAAGAGCGGAAGAGTGCTCATTTTGATGTTGCTGAAAAACAAGCTGTCTTCTGTGGCGTTCTACATGTTAACTTCTCATCTTGGAGAATCTCGAGGTTAATTAAGGTGAGCACACATGCTATATTATTTATATAGTATATTTATCTGATACTGATAGAGAGTAGGGTTCGCCATTACATTAACCATGTATAATGCACATTATTTAGTAGGGAGGCTAAATTAATTACATCTAAATATTCCTCCAGATTTTATTTTGCAGGAACATTACAAAAACTCCCGATACCAATAAATTAAGGAGCATTCATTGTAGCAGTTTTCATTCGCTCCAGAAAGTAATGTGCCTGTGATCTTAAAGAAAGCATAAAAGTGGCTTTTTTGGTTGGGAATGGAGTCAGTGTGCTGTTGCTGAAGGAAGGATTAGTGATAATGAATTGGTAAGTAACAGTATCAATTAGAAATAGTCCCAAGAAACTTCGATTTCTTAGACATTTGTAACTTGCTTCAATATACAACTTTTGGACAACGTTTCAGCAATGGCATTAATGTGGAACTGATCTTTCCATCAGTGTGAATGTTACTGATTTACTTTCTTTAAAAGTGGTAATTAGATACTTTTTCCTGTTCGTTTCTGTAAATTGCTCAACAAACGAGAAGGAATTGCAGTTAATTTTGGTGCCGAGAATGAGAGGCAATTGGAAATTAATTTGAAAGTCACTGAAACAACAAATTGTATGCAGTGGTGTCCCTATTGAATTTAGTTTGCTCATCATACTGGTAGATTTTAGAACGCGACATACTCGACGATTGATATTAATTGCTCTTCATTATTCTGTATGGCATTTCTTTTAAATATCTATTGTTCACAACATCTATGGTTTTTCGTTTAACATTTATCTATTGTTTACAGCTTAAATTAACTTGTGTCATACATCTGTGGAATTTTAATAATTACCTATCGTCTGCTTCATAAATTGACATCGTTCATCTATGATTCTTTCACATTTATCTGTCATTACGTAAATTTGACGCTTGTCGACATTTTGTAATCCAGCTGCATTACTTGCTTTTTGGTGCGTGTTTTTAGATGTATTTAATCCCTTACTTGATTAATAGTGTAATTAATATGTTTTTTGTTCATTTCTACAGATCGTCCAACAAATGAGGGTGAATTAAAGTTCTGCTTGGTTGTACTGAAACAACCAATGACTACATGGGTGTGGTCTTTCATGGAATATATTCTTGATTTGCCGTTTTCGTCTTTGTCTTGCAACATTATTCAGTTAATTTTCAACCGATTAGTGAGAGCAACTGGAGGTTTATTTGAATTCTACTGAAATAGCAAATTTTCTGCATTGGAATTCCTCCTGGATTAGTTTTGCATTTCACTCCTGCAAACTTTGGGACATTATGGTCTACACTCTACAGTTAATTAAGGTGAGATTGATTGATATAAATTAATCCTAATTGCTCTTTATTAATCTGTTACCACCGTATCTGTTTCAGATGGACGTTGGAGACGACAAAGATGACCCCGTAGTTAAAATAGTTCTTTATCTTGCATGATCCATCTAGTAGAATTCATTAAGTTCATTTTATTTGAATTAGTTTTTTATTTTGCTTGCTTATTTTTGTTCATTTTATTTGAAGTAATTGTTGATTGTAGATGTTTTTATTTTTTTTTTGTAGTAGTAGTGTAGTAGTAGAAATAACACGTTTAGTAGTTGTAGTATAGTCTAAC